AGCAGGCCTCATGTGTCTCAAAGTGGCTTACAATCCCCTTCCCTTCCTCTCCCCACAACAGGCACCTTGTGAGGCAGTTGGGGCTGAGAGAGCTCTGAGAGAACCATCTGCGACTGTCCAAAGATCACCCAGCAGGCTTCATGTGGAGGAGTGGGGACCAAACCCGGTTCTCCAGATTAGAGTCCACTGCTCTTAACCACTATTACCACACTGGCTCTCCAAAAAGCCTGGTTCTATTTGTCATCACAGAGATAAATCTAAAAGGCTTCATGTGAAAGGTTTGAGAAGCTGGCTTTGAGCTTTCGGTATTCTGAGCTCCGAATTCAGCACTGTTCCTTGTTCATTACTTATTTACTTCAATCATACATCACCTTTCTCCCCAATGGGGACCCAAATTGGCTGATAATGTTCTTCTCCACTTTATCCACACAACACCCCTGTGAGGTAGGTGAGTCTGAGCCTGTGTGACCGACCCACGGCCACTGAGTCAGTTTCCTTGGCAGAGCAGAGATAAGAACCTGGGACTCCCAGACCCTAGCCACACGCTCTAACCACTGCACTGTATCTCTCACTCTCTCTCTTATGGCCTACAGTCCACCCTAATGTGTCATAAGAGAGAAGAAGAGATTGGATTTATACCCCGCCCTTCGCTACCTGAAGGAGTCTCAGAACGGCTTACAAACTCCTTTCCCTTCCCCTCCCCACAACAGACACCCTGTGAGGCAGGTGGGGCTGAGAGAGCTCTTTCGAGGACTGCCCTTGAGAGATAGTGACCCAAGGTCACAGCTGCAAGTGGAGGCGTGGGGAATCAAACCAGGTTCTCCCAGATTAGAATCTGAACTCCTAACCGCTACACCTAACTGGCTCTTGTGAGAGGAAAGGGGGGGGGGGACTCTAAATTTTGTAAAGTAAAATTTTGTAAATTTTGAATTCTACATACAAACTAAGTAATCGTACACTTTGAGATTACAAAATCCAGGTCTGCCACCTCTAAAATTTCAAAACTCTAACATGCAATCTTCAACGGATGCTCCATTTTCACATGACCTCACAGACTGCATCCACACGATGGCACAAAGACAGCAGTAAATGGTACGGGAAGGGTAACCATGCCCCCGGTTCCTACACCTCCCAACACCCCCCCACACTCCTGACCCCATTTCCTGTGATGCTGGCGGAGAAGTGCAGATTCAGCCGCCATTTTACTCAGAACAGAAGAATACGGAAACAACCAGGAAGCAGACAACACTATGTTGTCACTCCCCTTTACTGAAAGAACTTCCTGCTGTCCATATTTGGGGGGGGGGGGAGATTTCCATGAGGAAGCAGCAGTGTTTCCATTTGCCCACTAATGGCCGGAGACCTTCAGGGAACTGTAGCCCTTGCCTGCCGATGCTCACCTGATCAGCGAGTGGAAACGGGGGCCAAACTTGGGGGGGGGGATTTTGAGGAGAAAGATTGAAAAGAAAAACACAGCTTTGTCTACTTACAAAAAGTTCTATGGTCCCAGTCACACAGGCCGGAAAATGTGGGGGGGGGGAGCATGGCTGTTTGCCCCGGAGCAAAGTAACGCGCGGCAGCCCAATCACATGTCCCGTCGAGGTCCCGTAGTTAGGCCGTTAGGTGCTGATCAAACGGCTATCCTGCAGCGCGGCAAAGAAGCGGCGCGATCACACCGGCAAATGGGAATTTTTTTCACACCGAAGTTTGCGCATGCGCATGATTGTATGCATCCCGTGGACTTACAAAAAAAAAATCTGATGTGCGATAGGACATGGACGGGCGCCAGATGCCACGGGATTCAAGCAGAAACGCGATCAGACGCCCGCCCTTGCCCCGCATTTTCCAGAAACTAGTACATCGTATGTGGTAGTTTTTTACTCCGCATCTTTGGCGAGAAGCCACAGGTTAGCCACGGGTGTACTACACTTCCCAGATGTTGCGGTGTGATCGCGCACCGAAAATCCGTCTATCATCTGTGTCTTTAGCGCGGCAACTTCTCCGTGTGAACGGGACCTATCCATAGCATTCCTGGCAATTCCTAGACATACACAAAAGTGATAAGGATGGCTCTAGGAATTACCAGAAACTCTTTGGTAAGATTATCATAGAGTTTATGGCAATTCCTAGAACCACCTTTGTCCTTTCTGGGTAGCTCTAGCAATCGCCTGAAACTCTATGGTTAGAGCTTCCTAGAAGTAGACGAGGTCCTGTTTTTCTTTTTAATTTTCTGCCCAGGGCGCTGCCCTCCCCACAACCCTGCTGCTGGTTGCCAGGCAGTAAATAACACACTTTCAATCCACTTTCGATGCACTCTGCAACTGGATTTTACCGTGTGAAATGGCAAAATCACTTGGTGGATGCTGAGGTGGAATTGAAACTGCATTATTCAGCATGCCTGGCCGTTTAGTTTCCCAACAAACACA